TATGTATAAAACTACTACTATAATAATAGAAGTTCTCTAACAAGTCTAAAACTTATTCCCAACAAGTAGATATCACTTATATGGATCCTATTCTTTACCTTTAGTTAAGTCTGCATTGATAAGATCTCTCAGGCACTACTCTCGAGGCATCTCTGTACCATGAATCCTAGGATTCTATCACCACCCGCAGATAACCACCCCTATCGTGACCAAAACCCAGAAAACTCTCCGACGGACAGCTTCACACGCGCGGCCCACTTCCGGCGACCTCTATGCCACGCGCCGGCGCGTGAGGCAATTTTCGGCCAGATCTCGTCTGGTCGCCTTCAGACAGCCTCTTCACGAGGCTATTCCGAGCCTACCCATCTAACTTTCTCCAAAATACGACGACTTTCACTATTTTCCGGCGAGGGGGGGGGGCTTTTTCCGACCAGATTTCAAATTTTCTTCTTCAGTCAGCCTTTTAGAAATGATGGACTCTACAGAGAGAAACTCCTACTTCTCTCTAGAATCTAGAAAACTAGAAAAATGTCTTTTATCAAAGCTGCCTCTTGGCCAACCCTAGAACTTGAGGGAAGATTTCATCAAAAGCTCGACGTAGGGTAGGAGCCGCACTTCTTGATGTCTGAGGAGCACACTCTCAGGTGCAAGGGTTTCTTGAAATCTTGTCTGATTGGATCTTTCTCCAAATTGGTTTGTTCTCCAGAGGTTGTTAGGAATTGGGCAGCAGATGCATGGAACGTCAATGACGGGCTGAAAATAATGCAACTGGGGGATACACAATATCTCTTTCGATTTCTCGACGAGTCTCAAGCTTCAGAAATTCTTGTTAGAGGAAACACATGGTTTGGTGGGAACTTTTTACATCTAGACAGATGGGTGGAGCACGATGGGTGTCTCGACCATCATTTCACCGGCGAAACATTAGTGGTCAACATGGTGGGTCTCCCGGTGCATCTTTGGTGCCTTGACCTCTTCAAGAAGATTGGGGAAATTTGTGTGGGCTTTATTGATGTCACTTGCAGTCTACATGATCTATCGCGAGTAAGGATTGTGGTGAGGAAAGGGCCGGAATCCCTGTCTCCACTGTGGTGGAAGATGGCTACTTGAGTTATAGGTTGTGGTTGAGCCTTGAATTTCGCCCTATCTTTATGCCTGTGATAGTGGCGGAAGAAAAGGGAAGGTCAAATAGAAGGGAGGGGAGGGGAAGTCAGTCTCTGAGGGGAGGGGAGGGCTCAGCGGATCAGTGGTCTAAGCCATAATCAGATGTTAGATCGAGAAGAGACGAGAGGTTTGAATTTGGGAGAAGAAGACAAAATTTCAACAGGAGGGAAAGACGTGAATGGGTTAGTGATGCGGGCTGGAAAGGTAGAATGGGCCGGTCATCTTCTAATTATCCTGTGGCCAGACAAGTTTTCAGCAAGTATAGGCCTGGGCCTCCTCACATGGGCCCAGCAACTTTTCCCAATTCTATTAGAATTGATCCTAAGGGGCCCAAATTATTTCAAGCTGCGTCTGTTAAGGCTCATAAGCATATGGGAACAGTCGTTCTTCCTTCTTCTGCCAATAGTGCTACACATAGTGGCATTTCTGCACCGAGCTCTAGTGACCTTCGCCCTTCTTCGATGGCCGCTACTTCAGGGGCGGCACCGGCTATAGATGGTGCTGTTATTCCACGGCCTCCCGCCTCTGATAGACCCAGCCCCATCGCCCCCTCATCTGCTTCTGGGCTTAGTTGTGTTGAGGCTACACTTCAAGCTTCTTCTTCTTCTGGGAAGATCGTTGAGCATGCCCCATCTGATGTTAGTGCCAGACCAATATTTCCAGTTAAGATGCCACCAAGGGCTCCATGCTCTCCTCCTTTTTGCTACCCTACTGGTGTTCCCGGTCATTCATGTAGCAGCGGGGTGCTAATTTCAGAGATTGATACCCCTCAAGGAAATGGCGAGATCCTTTCGGCACCTAAAGTTCCTATTGCTAGCAATGCTATGGTCTTGTATTCCTCCGGCAGGGGCAAGGAAAGGGTATATATAAAAGACGCATGTCCAATTTCGTCACGGGTTGGAGGAGGGGATATGTCTTTCTGGATGGAGGATAAACTATTAAACTTTGGGAAGTTTCTTGGTGTTTCTTTTGAAGGGAAGGAAGATAGGGTGTTAGAACTATTGAGGGAGATTGAGCAACAATCTTGTTATGATGGTGCAGGGAGGGAGTTGGGTCAAGGTGTTGAGCAAAATAATTTAGGGGATGTAGTGGTGTACCAAAGAAGGGCCGGGTGTATGACAGGGAGGAAGGGAGCTCGGTTAGAGGGGGTGGGGAGAAAGGGGATATTGTTTCTTATGGAAGTTAAGATTCTTTCATGGAATGTGAGGGGGATGAATGACCCAAACAAAAGGGCCATCATCAAAGTGCGAGTTAGAGAGTGGGGTGCTAACCTAGTTTTCTTTCAGGAGACAAAAATGAAAGTTTTGTCGGATGTGATTGTGAGGAGTGTCTAGGGAGGTAGTTGGGTAAAATATGACTGGGTTCCAGCAGTGGGAAGTGCTGGGGTCATTCTTCTAATGTGGGATGATAGAAGCTTGGAGGTAAAAGAGATTAAGAAGGGAGTTTTTTCTTTAGCAGCTATTGTCAAAGATAGAGTGAGTGGGGTGGAGTGGGGATTAGGGGGAGTGTACGGACCGGTAGGAGAAGGGTCCAAGGTGTTTTTCTAGGAGGAACTAGCCAATATGATGGGGGAATGGGACATTCCATGGGTTCTGGGGGGGAGACTTTAACACTATTAGATTCCCGGAGGAGAGATTAGGGTGCAGTATGATTTCGAGAGCTATGGAGGAGTTTTCTAACTTCATCAATGATCACTTTCTCATTGATCTTACTCTGTCAGGGGAAAGGTTTACTTGGGCCAGGGCGGAGAATTCCAACTCAAGGTCTAGACTTGATAGATTTCTCATATCGCCCTTCTGGGATGAGCTGGTGCCAAATGTGCTGCAGATTCCTTTACCTAGGCTGACTTCGGATCATTTGCCTATCTTGCTAGATGGATGCAGAGGGAGGGGGGTGCATGCTCCCTTCCGATTCGAGAACATGTGGTTGAAGGTGCCAGGATTTGGTGACAAGGTGAAAGAATGGTGGACAAGCTACGGGGTATCAGGGACACCTTCATTCCATCTTTCAAAGAAACTTAAATTGCTCAATGGAGATATTATTAGGTGGAATAAGGAGGTTTTTGGGAGGGTAGAGGTTAAAATGAGGGAGCTTATGCATGAATTGGGGGATCTAGAGAGAGGGGAAGGGGCATGGGAGTTAGATGAATCTGAGAAAGAGAGATTGAGGGAGGTTAAGAGGGAAATAGTCGAGTTAACAATAGCTCAGGAGACTAGTTGGCGGAAAAAATAGAGGGTGCTATGGTTAAAGGAATGGGATTCGAATATCCAATTTTTCCACAGGGTGGCGGTTGCAAATCGAAGGAGAAACTTCATAGAGTCCTTAGTTGTGGATGGGGTGAGGATTGAGGGAGAGTAGGAGGTAAAAGGGGCGATAGTGGGGTTTTATGAGAACTTATACAAAGAGGAAGTTAGTTGGAGGTCGACTTTGGGGGAATAGAGTTCAACCACATAGGGGAGAGAGACAGTGAGTGGTTAGAAAGGGCTTTCGAGGAGGAGGAGGTGCATGAGGCTGTGTCGAGTTGTGCTAGTGATAAGGCCCCCGGCCCTGATGGTTTCTCCTTGGCCTTCTTCCAGCTCCGTTGGGACACCATCAAGGGGGAGTTGATGGAAGCCATTGAATACTTCCATGTGAACGGTGTTTTCGAGAGAAGTATCAATGCTTCTTTTATTACTATTGTGCCTAAGAAAGAAGGTGCATCTTCTATCAGTGACTACAGGCCTATTAGTCTCGTGGGGAGCATTTACAAAATTATTTCTATAGTGCTTTCCAATAGACTCAAGAAGGTTCTTCACGTGTCTGTTTCGTCCTCCCAGAATGCGTTTGTGGAAGGTAGGCAGATCCTGGATGCCGCTTTGGTGGCAAATGAACTTGTCGACTCCAGAAGGAAAAATAGAGATCCCGGCTTACTATGCAAGGTGGACCTTGAGAAGGCTTTCGACCATGTCAATTGGGAATTCCTGGATTTTATTATGATGCGGATGGGGTTTGGGGCAAGATGGAGGGAAAGGATCAAGTTCTGCATTTCCTCAGTCAGATTCTTTGTCCTGGTTAATGGTACCCGTGTGGTTTCTTTAGCAGCTCCAGGGGTCTCAGGCAAGGAGACCCCCTATCCCCCATGCTATTCATTTTAGTAATGGATGCTTTGAGTAAAAATGATGGATCGAGCGGCGGGCGGAGGCTTCTTGAGAGGATTCTCAGCTCTGATCGGGGTGCCCAGTGCCCGAAAAGTCTCTCAGTTGCTTTTTACGGATGACACCCTTGTTTTCTGTGATGCCCGTATGGATTAGTTGACCTACCTAAAGCAGGTCCTGCAGTGGTTTCAGATAGTATCAGGTCTCAAAATAAACCTCGGCAAGTGTGAGATTTTCTAGGTGGGTGAGGTTGCTAGCATCGATGCTTTGTCTTATGTTCTCAGATGTAAGGTGTGCTTCCTTGCCACTAGTTACCTGGGTCTCCCATTGGGCGCTTTGCATAAGGATACTACGGTTTGGAATCCAGTGATCGAAAGTGTTGAAAAAAGATTAGCATGCTGGCAGAAACGGTACTTGTTAAAAGGCGGAAAGGAAGTGCTCATTAAAAGCACTTTATCGAGTATGCCCGCCTATTACTTGTCCCTGTTGCAAGCTCCTGTGAGCATCACAGAAAAACTAGAGCGGCTTCAAAGGAATTTTCTTTGGGATGCCGCGGATGGAACTAGAAAGTATCATCTAGTGAATTGACAGACAGTCATTTCCCCAAAGAAGTGGGGTGGACTTGGAATAAAAGATCTTAGGGTATTCAACAGAGCTTTGTTGGGAAAATGGCTGTGGAGATTCGGGGTAGAAGAGCATGCTCTATGGAGGGAGGTCATAGTAGAAAAGTACGATTCCACGGGAGGGGGTTGGAGGACCAAGGCAATCACAATACCTTTCAGGTGTGGCATGTGAAGGAGCATCATGAAGAATTGGGAATCCTTCAGTGGCAACATCACTTACAGGGTGGGAGATGGAGGAGAATTAGCTTTTGGAATCATATGTGGTGTGGAGAGGATACTCTGAGGGTCTCCTTCCCCACGTCTTCAGAGTTTTAAACCAGAAGGAATTGATGGTCCAACAGATTCGTAAGGAGCATGTAAGGGGGGGGTATATGGGACCTCTCATTTTAGAAGGAACATGGTCAAGATNCTAGATTTATTGACACTGCTATATGGGCAAGACATGCCTCAGCCATCTTGTGATTCTTGGATATGGGGTTTGCGTGGCGATGGTCTGTTCACCGAAAGTCTTTTTACCAGAGTATGTTGGTGGTGAGAGAGGAGGCCTTTTTTCCATACTCCTCGATCTGGATTCCTAAGGCGCCCACGAAGGTGTGCTTTTTTTGCATGGCTAGCGGC